AAAAGGAAATAAGAAATTTAGCTAGAAACTTACTTTGATTGCATCTACTTAAAATTTTTAACTACTTTGTTGGTTAACTTTTGAGGTCAAATTATGGGTTTTTTTTCCCCATAGGAAGTAAAGGCATCTTCTTTGAGACATGCTAATACCCTCAATTTTAAAATATTCTGGGTACCAACGAGATAACACACCTGAAAGCACCTGATACAATGCTTAGCGTGTTTTTTCTTTAACAAAACCCCACAGACTCTATTTTTACCAACTTGAGCTCAACATGGATGGGTTTGGAAGAAGTACCAAGTTTTTCAACAATACTGGTTGTAAGCTGAAGTAATGTCTTAGTTAAGCCAGGTTGGCACATGCAATGGCTCACATGATGGGGCCCCAGGAAGCTGAGGTTGAGGGTGTTGTGTAGAATTCGTGACTCTTGTTGGCAGACTGTCCAAAGTGATTGAAATAAAAACACTGGAGAACGTGTCTGCCTGAAGGACAGAAAAGAAAACAAGAAAGGCAAACTGGAGAGGGGAACCTGTGTCCTGGGAGCAGCTCTATTTCCGTTTCTGCCAATGGAGCCTCTGTTGGCGGAAGGATGTTTCTGGGATGTATCCCCTTTGTAGTGATGTAACTCATTTTGGTTTCCTAAGTGTCTATGATGTACATATGCATCCATGTACATATTGGTACACACACCCAGCATGCACACATCACGTATACACACCGACCCACACAGAATTACAACCCTACGTGGATGCCTAACATATGTCTCAGGTGTAGCTATTTCTACTTGTAATGTTTTGTCTTTCTTGCTCTTTTAGAGCTCTGTGTGAGCATTCCAAAGAACGCTGTGAGTCTGTTCTTGGGATCGTGGGCCTCCAGTGGCCAGAAGACACAGATTGCAATCAATTTCCAGAGGAAAATTCAGACAATCAAACCTGCCTAATGCCTGACGAAGATGTGGAAGGTTAATTTTCTAAGTTAATTGCGGGGGTGGGGTGGCGGATATCTAACATGGATGAATATATCGGCTGCCTTTAGAAGTTTCTCTGTTGTTGTTTTTATTTAGTTACCAATAGAAAGGCTGCCTAGGTGGTGAATCTATAAACTTCATTACATTGAAGAAGCTGATGTTAGACATGTTAGATCTGTTAGACATTGCCTTCATTTTGAAACTAAATTGCAGTCACTTCTTGGCCTTTTGGCTAAGATCATGTGTAGTATCTGCTCTTACAGTTTCATATGTGATATGTCTCTATCCGAGGACAACATGTTACATGGATTTCTGGAGCAGGGAGTTGGAATAGGAGCTTGCCCCGTCCACTCCACGCAGCGACCTGGTGGTGCAGCACTCACAGGAATGGTGCACCCCGTCAGGGAAATAAAGCTGTTACCAAAAAAAAAATAAGTAAAAAGTAAACTGTAGAGATGACTTTACTATTTCAGGTATTTCTTTTAAACACAATTAACTCACAGAGCCCATTAGATACGGATGCTGCTGTTACATTAAGTGTTCTGAAGGTAATGGTGAAGATCAAGCCTTGATTCCTTCAAGTGCAAAGCATTCAGTGACTTTGGCAATGTAGGATGATCAGGTGGAGAAATGGTATCAAGGACCTGCCCACCAGGTAGAAAGATTAGGACAGGAAGCAACTTCACACATTGAAGGAAAGGCAGCTGAGTAGTTAGAAGCACTGACTTTATGGGCCATTTCAGGCTCCAGCAATTGTTAGGTTGTCCATTCAGAAAAAGAGTTAATTGCTGGCAAGCATAAAGACACAAAACAGCAGATCTGGAGAGATGATTCCAAGGATGAAGGGCAAAGTAGCTGATAAGCAGACAGAAGAAAGCCAAGTTCACTTTGGCTGTTTCAGTTTTGCGAGGACCGTCCTTGTCTTCAGTGATAACGTCTCCATGTCATCCCACTTGCAAATGGATAAATTAGCTGGTCTGGGGTTTTTGTCTGTTGACAGTAATATGGCCCACTGTTTGTAACAGAATGCTCACCTAGCCACTTTAAGTGTGGCTCAGGACGGTGTGTGCTGGCTTCCAGAAGATGTGATGGCCAGGCTGACTGTGATGATGACAGCGATGAAGAAAACTGTGGTATGTATGTGAGATGGCACTTTTCTGGAATGTACAATAATAACTGGTTTTAGGACAAGGGGCTGTGATAAAATATATCAGATATTCCCTGATAGTTGTAAGTAGTGAGTAGGATTGAATGCTAAGGCATTTACTTCTTAAATTATCAAGTGGCAAGGTATGCATTTAAAAGTGTTCTTCCTGTTAATTCTATTGCTTTTCCCTAAATTATCTTCTGTTTATAACCTTGATGACATAGGCAAACCCTTAGTGAAAGAAGCTCTTCACAAGTCTAAGGGGTTATTTTCACTAGGAGATTATAAAGCAGTTGTCATCTGTTTGAAGGTCGGTGTAATAATGTCTTTGCGTATAATTCCCTTGTTATCAAATAGGCATCTGGATACACAAAGACAGAGTTCAGGCGCCAAAGTTCAAATTCAGTTGGAATTTATTTTCATGTCCTCTCTGATCTTGTCTCTGTCGGAAAAGGATAAAACTCCCTGACGTTTCTGCCTTTGAGCTTCAAGATCACCAATGGGAAGGCAAGAAGTGGTGATTTCAGTGGAGCTAATTCCCATCTTGTTTCTCTACAAGCCTTTGTACTTCTAACTTCAAAGTATGTCAGGGAATAGAAAACAGACAGTGCTCTTTACTGCACGATGTTATGGAGCGAAGCAAAGTGACTGAAGAGCAAGCCAAAAAATAGTTTGGTTACAATTATTTAGTGTGTTCTGCTTAAAAAAAAGGACATTTTTTGCCATTGAAAGCACATAAGGCAATGCATCTTTTGAAATCATTTTATTCTTTTGGCCTTTTGAGGTATGAAATATTGCCTGGCTCCCCAAAATGAATTTTCTACAGTAGCCATTGCCCTTCTGGTCTAGACAGAATGTCACAAGCAATCAGCTGAAATCCTATCAGTGACTATAAATACAGACAAGTGTATCTTCTGGAAAATTAGAGCCGTCAGAATGGTGGTGCACTGACCGGGGTAATTTCATTAGGGAGGAACATGCAGTGTTTTGAGAAGCTATCACTGTTTGCTTGTTTGTGGTTTTCACATAAAGAAACAAATCAAAACTCATTGACTATCCCTTATACGGATGATTTATTGAGAATCTATTGGATTTCTTCACTAAATCATAGCTTTGGTATTCTGAGATGCAACTTAAAATAGATTATCTTAGATTGTTCAGAGGGGTTACATGTTACTCTGTTGAGGTGGCTAGACCTATTTGAGCAATGTGAAAACTTAGTTTCAAAAAGAGCTATATGAAGATTAAGTGGTCTGAGTTCTAATTTTGCAAAAAAGAAATTTAAAACACTGTAGGGTACAAATGATCCAAAAATGTCAGGTTTCTAATTAAGTAATGAGTTTCTGTTGGGACTCGGCTATCACAATTAAAGGCACAGCAGACCAATAGAATAAATGGTCTAATATCCATCAAACACTCAGAATATGGATGATGCCATTGAGAGCTCTGGTTAAGGAAGGTTAAAAGTCAGTAATAAATCTGAAGCATTAATTGCCCCAGCAGTATTAATTTATGAGAAAACTCTCATTAACTTTTCCAAAGTGACTGATAATAGACATTTTGTGTATAATCACCTTTGGGGCATGTGCACAGTTTCAAATGGGCGTGTCCCAGGCTCTGGCAGAACACGGCACTTGAAATCAAATAAGGAAGTCATGTCGTGGAAGGCCCGACGGAGGGCTTTTGGGAAATGACCCAATTCCCATTTCCCCTCCTTGTTTAGTGTGTGTCTCGGTTTCCCTGGGCATGCATAGGCATGCTGTCTGGTAACGCAGACACCAGCTCCTGCAAAGCTGGCCTTCAGTCCAAGCTTCATGTTTTCCTGATTTGTTTTGTCCATTGTGGAGTGGAAGGCACTTAAATGCTTGGACTTTACTGAATAATGAGATAATTAACTATTCACTTTCACCCATCTGCAACTTCTCCAGAATAGTTTTACAACATTATTGGGTGTTACCCTCAAAATTGTACTTCTTTAATTTAGTTAGAATAATTAGTTAGAATAATTTAGTTAGAATAATAGAATAATTGATGTGTTGGAAATTTGCTCTGTGTTTCTTTGACACTTCTGCAGCAGGAAAACATGGTAGTCAAAGCACACCATTTATAAATACACGTTTTAAATCTGTGCATTAATCATTTAGCAGTGAGTAACATCGTATTGAAGTGTCTCCTGTTCTTGGGGTATATTTTTGTTGCTGAAGTTGCATTGACTGTGTAATTGTTAATGTAAACAACAGTTGAAAATATTGTCATTATTAGAAACATTTTCAGCAAGTGGTTGGAAGAATTATGTGAATGTGAACACATCATGTTTGGAAGAATTATGAGAATGTGAACACATCATTCCAGAGTTGCTTCATGGAGAGAAAGTGAAACGGTGGGAGTGACCTGCAGAGTCAGCATGGTTTCAGTACAGAAGCACTTCCTTGTCTCGAAAGTGGATAATTTGTCATTAATTGAATATATGCCATATACTTGGAGCTGGCTGTAAATCCAGCAACTTGATGAAAGGAGTTTATTTTCAATCTAACCTTTTCCAAGCATTAATATCTAGCAGTGGAGAAAAAAGTGAAGATCTGGACAGAGAAATGAACAAGAAGGACATAAAGAAATGAGAGCTAAAGAAAATACCAGAGGGATTGTATTTCTGAACTTTGCCTTCATGCTGTAGATTTGAGTTTGGGAGGCCGAGGTGAGCTTTGGCTAGACCTGTGTCCACCATTGGGTGAGTGACCAGCAGGAGCCAGATGATTCCTGGGCTGGGATGTGAGCAGCAAGTCCTCTCAGTGGGGTGGTTACATGAGAATATAACTCAACAAATTTCTTTGTATCTCCTGTAGGAATAAAATCCCTCATTGTATAATTACAGCATCACCAGTACCAA